TCCTATATAGGGATGGCCGGTGTGCTCACTGGCTGAGTGTGGTGCAGACCACACCGTGCCGGGGGTTGTGATCCCCTTACCGGTCAAAAATAAATAAATAAATAAATAAATAATGTCATCCTCACAGTAAATTTTGTTGGGATAAAAATAATACTAACAGTCCATTTTCATTTTTGGTTTTCTGAATGACAGGAAAAGAAAAGTGGACAAAAATGGAGATCTTATTTCTCAGTGATTTTATTTTAGTAGTAGTCTTTTGGAAATTCTATCCCCTGGTTGAAATCCACCAATTATGCTATCAAATAAACAATAATTAAAAATGTTCTCAGGAAGGATTGTTTTTGGCCAAGTCCAATGTGGCCAAATTTATTACCCATTCCTAAAGTTCACAAATCACAGTACTTTAAAACTTCTTGCTTATGATTTTACTTTTTAATACCTAATTTTCTCAGGTATCTTCTTTACATCTTCTGGAGCTTTGGGAATTTCTGACTATGCCTTTAAAATTTTCCTCCTTCTAGAAAATTCCTTTGCCATGCTGTTCCAGCTCAGTCCTCCTCTTAACTCTCTAATAAATCCTTCAGTGTGCCCCCTACTGGCCCCTTTTTCCTACTGGCACCTTTACATTGGGTCTTTTGCTTCATATTTTCCCCTCTGTCTCCTGCCACAAGACCATTGCTGCTCTGTTAATGATTCCCAAATTTATGTCTTTAATACTACCAAGTTTTCTAAGCCCACATTTCTAACTAGATATTTTACTTATACATCATATAAAACACACATAAAATTAAATTCATTAACTCCTTGATTTTTCATTCTTTAGAGAAGAAATGGCAGCTCCGTTAATGTCCCTGTCCAAGCTCACATCTTGTCATTGAAGCAGCCAATTCTTGCTGTACTCCTACTCCAGTATATCTCACCTTTGCCTCTGAATCCTACTTCTACCATCATTATCTTGCTTTAGGATCTTGTTATTTGCCAAGAGTCAATTAGCTATGTGATGGCTTCCCAACAATTTTCTCTACCACTACCTCTGCGGTGCTCCAATCCATCCAACACTCCAACAGTCCATGGACTATTTATAAATGCCTCTCTGCTTGACCTTCAAACCTTTTAGAGCAAGTTTCACCTAAACTTGATGACATGGGATAGAAGAAAAGAGAAAGGGTCTAGCCTTATCCCAACTAGGTAGTTTATGTCTAACATGCAGTAGACGTTCAGTAAACATTTCCAAAAATGTAAAAAAAAAAATCAACAACCTCGGTATTATACAAATGGTATCATTCCACTGTCCTGCACAAAGACCTTCCCTAGATTTCCATCATCTACACAATACCGGTCCAGCTTCTGAGCACAGCTTGGCTCTTGGATGCCTCCC